TTGGAAGCTTGTTCATGCAGTCATGTGGCAGAGTCCATTAGATCCAGCGCTTTGATTCCTCTAGAGTCTGTGCAGAAAGAGTCCTTCGGTCTTGCACAAGCCATGGCTTTCTGAGCTCTTTCGCTGTGCGCCCAGTGACATGTCGTGCCAGAACTACGCATCAGGCATAGACCATCCAGGTCCATTTCCCTATCTTCATATTCTTCAATCATCATCATAGGTTTAGCGCGTACCTCGGCCGCTGCGCTTTCACACATTCTGCAGACAATATGACTCCTTTCATGGTCTGCAAAGAGTATGATTAACAGTATGAATCTTCAGAGTATTATCCGTCTTATTGATAACACGATTTAGAACATTAGTATGATTCTTCTCACTGTTTGAAGAGCCAGAGGGGCTGCTCTTGTAGTTTTTCGAAGAGAAGAGAGATCTCTCTTCTGAAGAGCACATGACATAGGCTTGACTGTACATCGGACCCTATACATAGCGCATTATGTAGGAATGAAAAACAACAACAGCAGGGGTGGGTGTCTTAATCAAAAGCACCACACTGGCTCTATATGAAGAGAGAGCTCAAGCTCCACTTGATTCCCCACGCTGTATCTATCTTGTACTTTTTTGAAAAAGACAGACTAGAATTCTATTTCTTTCATGGGAGTTTGAAGGGAATACAAATGTTTCTTGTGAAGAACATAGGCTTGAGTCTAAGCAAGATATAAAAAGTGGACTCTAATTAAAAGCACCAAAACGTCGCCAAAAAAGGAGAGAACTCAAGCTCCATTCAACTGTATTGAAGTCCTATGGAATCAGAAGAAACACCTGCAAGGGAACTGGAGCTTTCACTTCTCAAGTCAATTGTATCTCTCTCGTATCCATAATTTTGCCTTCATAGGAGCAAAGAGTTTAGTTCTACTGGTGAGAAGAAAATAGTCCTGGGGAATTCATTTGCTACAAAGTGGGTGAAGGGTATTGAATATTTAGTATGCTTCTTTCCAGTTTTAATGTTAAACAAATCCGAATTTTTTTTGGCAAGGATCAAAGCGCTTTCCACACATGCAGTGTTTTCCCTAATATGAATTAAAAACCTACGATATTCCAATGGTTTCTGAAACATACTACATGTGTTCAATTCTAAACAAGACGTCTCAAATCCTTGGCCTTGCAATTTCTTTCTTCAGAACATTACTCAAATTGGTTACGAATTTGCGGCAAAATTCTCTGATTATGATCATTCCATATTCTACTACGAAAATCCTTTATCAAACGCGCATCTTTTTGAAAGGAACTCGCAAGTCTTGAACTTCGGAATTAACAACACCGCTTCTTTCTACTTTAACAAGGAATTTTGCAAATTCGAGGTTTCCGTTTTTCACCAAATACATCCCTTTATTGTGTTACACATTTGTTACAAGCTCTAAACAGAGACTCATGGATCTTGGGCTCATATTCGGCTTATTTTCTACGTATAAACCCCATGCTAGATGTACTTCAGATTTCAAGAGGAACTCTCAATTCTTGGGCTTCTCTTCTTCTCTACATGACTCCGGAGTAAACAAAAACGCCCATTAACAAATTAACAACTGTATCCTATTTGCAATAAAAACGTATCGGTAACGATCCAGCCTGGAGGCTATTTCGCTTTACAAAATTTGTCTTTATGTAAGGTTCGAATTGAATTATTTCGCAGAACACGTTATGCATCTTGTTACTTACATGAGTTGTAGAAGGGATGTGGCCAACAAACCAAAACAACACAAAACCCGCCTCAAAAAATCCTGACTCCATGTCTCTGGGGTCTGGAGCCTTGTAAATATATTCCGAATCTAATGCCAAAAAAGGACCAACAACACAACAAGACCCGACACACTCTGGTTTCTTTGCTTTTTTGGTCGGTCCTTTTTCTCTCGCATTAGATATGGAGTATGTTAAATATTTAATGCTGCCCAAAGACATGGAGTCGGAATTTAGAATCTCTGTTTTTGTGTTTTTGTATTTTTGTTGTCGTTTCAAAGTTTCTGTCCTTCTTTCTTGTAGTCTATCCGGAAATTCCATTACTCTAGGCAAAGTTTCGGTTACAAAAAAAGATCCGAGGAGGAGCTCCAGGCCAAGAACAACTATTTTCTCCCCGTTCCGTTCCTCCTTTTCTGCTGTCTTTGCGCGCTCTGGCACTTTCGGCGTCGAAGTGGCTTTGGCGTCTCCTTGACCTTCAGCTGTGGTGGCGATGTGATCGACGCGATGGGCTGAAACGGCGGCTTTGCTGCCATTGTGCTTCACAATCTCCTTGGGCTCGCCTTGGGGGTGATCGCTGGCTGGAGTTAGGGTTGTTACGATCGGGGTGATTTGCTAGGTGGAGTCTCTGCTAGTGCACGCGGGCCAAGGTTCGGCGGTCTAGGAAACACCGCTGCTCCTGTGCCTCCCTCTGCAACCCTTTGGCTCATGGTCTTTGCCACCTTTGCCGGAGGCTTTGTAGCGGTCTCGTCATCCTCGATGAGCACGTCGACCATGTGCGTGGGGTCGTCCAGCACGTCACGTCTCCCTCCTCAATGGTGGTGCCAGCACCAGTGCTGGTGCTGGTTGAAGATCGGCCGACCAGATGGTTGTATCTTGGATCGTGTCTCTGATGCCTAGGATTGCATGTGGATGCACTGCGCCCGACCTGAGCGCACCGTCAGAGACAGTTCGCAAGAACAACGCTCCGCAGTACATCGCAACCTTAGTGCGATGATTAGTTCGTATTTGGATCCGGCTCGAACACCGCTTCTGTAGCGCATGTCATCCAATTTCTTGTCAGTGAAGTTGCGCACCTTTCCGCTTTCGACGTCTGGACCTACTCCCAAGGTCCGTCCGCGGCCTTGGGTCGAAAAATGACAGTGCTGTTGCCATGGCCGATGGCTTCCTTCGAGCGCCCCTGATTTGCCCGCATACTGGCAAGCCGAGGTGTTCAGAGTGCTCGATGTTGGTGCCGCGGACGGCGAAGCGCTGCTTATCATTGCACTTGAACACGTCAATCAATTCGGCCAACGTCCATCGCGTGTTGTTGTTTGTTGTCAGGTAGTCGATGACGTGCTGGACGAGCAGGCATCCCTCCGGGTCCATGTCCAGGTACCGACTAGAAAGCGGGTTACCTCCCCGGATAGTGGCCGACATCAACCTCAGCTCAAAGAACTGCGATCGGGCGGAACATTGAACAGGGGAAGTTCGTCGAAGTCAGAAAGAGGACAACTTGACGACGGAGTTGACATGACTTCACATCAACATCACGCCTCACCTTCTGCTTACGCGTCTGCTGGTCCTGGCTGGCTCAGGGTCTCCCTCAGCTCGCTGATGTTGCCTCCTATGTGCTCTTGGCGAGGTTGCCTCGATCATGTCGTTCAGGTCCTTGGGCAAAGTGGGCTGTTGCAATTGCGGGCGGCATCCGCATCTGCGACAAAAAGAGTTCTTCGACAGCGTTGAGTTCATGAAGTTGGGAGTTCGCCTCGTCGCGGGTTATCCCCGGTTGGTGCACAATGTTGATGCTGTTGATTCTGCCGGCCATGAGCCCCTCCACTTCTCTCTGGGATGCTCTTGACCTCGCTGCGCCTGGTGGCGAAGTGAGTCTTTTCAGGCAGCAATAGTATCTTCCGGCCGCCTCGTCGAGCAGCGCCTGGATCTCCTCAGCAAAGTAGGCACGGATCATCGCGAGTCAGTTAATTAAACAACCGAGCTCTTCTCTTGAGCTTGAAAGGCGCTGCATACTTGGGCTCTAAAGTGAAACACGTATAGTGAGATGGGTTCATCATGGTTCATCTCAGGTAGGTCTCATGGGTGTCAAATACCTTAACACCTTGCCTATAAGTTCGTTCAGTGTGGGCATGATCCAGATCCAACTCATTGGACTTTCAGTCCCCTGAACCAATGGGTTCCATGCCCGTGCATGCTGCCCAGTGGTGTGCAACCCACCATCTCACCCGCAATTGCGGGACTGAGAGTCCAACTCATCAACAAGCGAGTTCACACAGTAGAGCGAACTTTTCCTCCTGACGCCTGCCATCTAAGTTCATCTACTTTGCTCGGACTTAGGGTTCATCCTTCGATGTCCAGTTCATGTTGGCTCCTGCAGTTTAACACTGCCGATATTCACTCATTTTCCTGATCCAATGTCTGAATAACCTCAAAGCCAAACTTAAAACAATACAAGTTCTCCACATTTCATTCCAACCATTCAACAAAATAACAATCCTGTCAAACCAAGCATTAAATGGTTAATGCTGTGCTTCCAAGTGGACTATACACACGCTCCTATTCGTTGTGCAAAAACCCTCTCTGGTGAAGAGTTTCTTTCTCATCTTCAATTCCTTTCCTACCAAGCTTGTGGGCACTATTGCTTCCTGCGAGGGACTTGCCCTCCCGGAGATGGACTCAAAGCTCTTGGATTCCTTAGCGTGTGCCTTCAGGACTAGAGCTTCCTTGCGGGTATGCTCAGGTAGAAGCTCCACACGCATTGGCTCTGATAGCTCGATCGTCTCACTTTCCTCATCTGGTGGTTAGTTATGATGTTCTTCATCGTGCGGATTGTCCGATGCAATGGCTTCATCGGCGCTTGCAACTGCCAAATCTGATGCTTCCGCTTTACTGCGGCTGCGGATAGCATCCTCGGAAAGTTTCAGGCGCGTGAACATCCTGAACGCCCAATCGTGAGAAGTAGGTGGATCGCCACTGTAGATGTACGATCCGCTTCAGGTCTCAAGGGGAGTACCCTGGTGCCGTTGACCGGCAACATCCATGGCTTTGCGTAGCTTACACAACAATTACTGGGCCGATGGGCTCGCCCAGACCGGACGCGGAAAGTACCTACCTTACCGGATGCAGGCCTTTCACCAGCTCTGCTACCAGTATCGGTAATACTAGGGAACTAGGTACAATATGCCATTGACAATATGCACTGACCTGACCTGGCCTTTTGGTGTTCGCGGCAAGCCCGAAAGCAACATGAATGATCGGGCAATTTGAAGGCAAGATGCACTTCGGCTCGATTCTCGTAGACCCATCCGATCTCTGCCAGGAACCGGGCCAAGGAAGGGTCACTCTCCAGAATCCCTGACGCGCGCAAGGCAAATGCGACTCCACAGCAAGAGGCTGGCAAGGCCTTGTGCTTCAGCCTGAACCTGAACGTATGAGATGTTTCGAGGCTTGTAGTAGGCTGGAATAGCTTTGTTGCCTCCTTCACGGGCGAGGCGTCCTTAGCGTCCAGCCTGAGAAGGGAAGAGGAAAAAGGAGGAAACCCCAGACTGGAAGAGAGTGCAAAAGTAGACGGAGTAGACTTCATGAAGTCCACAAGTCGAAGCAAATTGCATGCTCGCGTTCTCGCATTGCTCTTCTCCCCTTGGCTTGGCACCGGGAGGCCAGGTTGAGCGCCAGCTTCACCTGGCGCCGTACCTGCGAAGATCTCAAAGAAGAAACAGAAGCTGATCACTTCTTTCATACGCCACTTTTTGAACCCCAAATCCCTTCTTGTTCAGTTTCAACTTCACCCGAAAACAAGCCCTCCAGGACCAAACTCTGGGCCAAACTCGGGGTCTGTGACAGACTCTGCATACGAAGCCGCACCTCCCTCTGCTTGGAGCTTTCCTCGCCTGAAGCTGAAGCCGAAACAAAAAACAATTTCACTAACTCACTAACTTAGTTCAAGTCTTTCAAGTTCTTGTTTTCTTCTCTTCCGCTCCGCCTCGAAGCTGGCCGCCTTGGAAGAGCTCCTGGCGAAAGTCTTTGCATTTGCATTTGCAAGCATCGGCTGCACCTAAGCTTGGAGCGCTGGAGCACAGAGCGGCACAGGCACTACTGCCTTTGGAGCTTTGCCCCTTTTTGAACCGCTTCTTCCTTCTTCTTGAGTCGTAAGAGGGTTCAGCAAAGTGCTGGCGAGCTGGGACCAGAAAGGCACGATTTCTGTCACGAGCCGCTTCGTCTCTCGGCTCATCTCCGAGGACGAATGCAAAAGCATTCTCTGGCAGTTCCCGTTGAAAAAAGCCAGCAGGTCGGGGATGGAGCTGAAGGCTCGCACGCCCGGCTTCTCATAGATCCCCGCATGCTGCTCCGACCAGTAACGCATGATCCAGAAATCGCGTGTCAGGAAATCCTCACAACTCACTTCACTAGACATACTGCGATTTCTGACACGTCGGCCATGTCAGCCGAGATTCCAAAGACGGATACGGTGTTGGATGCCTTGGATCAATGATGACTAACATCACTCAAGAGGTGAATGATGGACTTTTTCTTATCAGACTCTTAAGTCCATGTTACTTCTGGTTGGCTCGCAGCTGTCGGTGCAAATCTGGGTGAGACTTGCTGTAGCTCGTCATCTGCTTTGGCCAAAGACGGGCGAGCCAAAGTGGATCGGGCACGAAGATGGGAACGTGAAGGGCCTCTAAGGGTTCAATCTGAGGCAGCTCTGCAAGGATCAGCCTTGGCTGCTTGGCTGCAGCTAAGAAACGTAGAGCTCCGCGAAAGTGGTGACGGCGATGTTCCAAGGGATGAGCACTGTGGCATGGAAGTTGCCAACTTCCTGAAAGCTTAAGCCATGCACCACGTCCCGGTCGCCAGAAGCCACAAAGAGCCGAGGTCCTGGGAAGCTCTCCAATCACACCCCGAAACCTGAAACAAAACAGTTTTTCTCACGAAATATGCCCATGTCCTCTAGGAAACAGATGCCTGCCTTCACGAAAGAGTCCACGGCACACATGAGACATCAGGAGCCGTGTCCTTAAGGTAAAGCGTGCGTGAGAAAAATTCTGAGCTGGTTTTCCAGAAGCCCTGCCTGGCACAAATGACCAGGAGCGAGGTCCTGGTGCTGTTCGGAGCATACGCAGCATCAACATAGAGCGCCAGTGGAGGGACAAAAGGCACCGTGGAATTGACGTGGTACTGCAAATGGGCGGCGATGTAGGGGGACTGAGCCACCATGGCAGTGTGAGGAGCCGCTTGAAACTCCTGGAACTGGCGTAGGTAGACGGAGGCTGCGAAGTCGCTGAAGGCTTCGTCCTGGAAGAAGATCAAAGCCGCGTAGTAGAGGCAGGCCACCACCGTGTTTGCGTGTGAATTTGAAGGATGAAGATCTTTTGAGTGTGGTGCTTTTGCGGTTTGCCACAAAAAGTAAGCATCTCGGAGCTCCATCGCCACAATCAAATCGGGCTTCACATCCTCGGCCGCCCAGAAGGCCCGGTAGGCCAAGGCAACCTCCTGAACACAAGTTCGTTCTCGCCAAGTAGCTGAATTCTGAGCATTTTTACTAAAATCTGCTAGTGATTCAGAGGACGATTTCTGAGTCTCGTAACTCTTTCTCGTCTCTTCAAAAGCTCAAGCACATATTGTGACCGTGCACAAGTACAAAAAAAAGCACTTGTGCATCTGTTAAAGGGTGGCCTCGTCTACAGGATCCGACAAGCATTCAAGGAACGATGGGGCAAAGTCTTCCCCAGAGGCAGGCCTTGGGGTCCATACAAGACGGGCCCTGCGAGACTTTGTTAGGACCAAGAGAAACATGGGATCTCAGCATGCACCCTTTTGCCTGCCCCCTCCCGGCACGATGTTGAGGATGTCACTTGTCAGATGCTCTGCAGACACGAGTCATACGGAGTCACCGTCGCGACGCCACAAAGCGGCCACCGGGCTGAAAAGACAAAGTCGACGGAAGGCTCTTGCGGCCGTCTTCCCCAAAAGTCTGGAACCGGGCGGAAGCGGCGGGACCCAGCCGGCCACTCCAGGCACTGTGCCGTTGCGCCGCATCCAGTATCACAATCGAACAAGCCTGACCCTCCATCAGAGCATCAGGCAAGTCTTCAGAATGAGCATCTTACGCACTCCCTTTTTACAAGCAAAACACGTAACACAACTCTTCCGGTGACACGCTGCGTTCTCATGGGTATGCTGGGTCAAGAGCTTAAGGATTGAAGTTCATTAGGGTGTCCGGATTCGGGTTCAAGCTTCGGGGATTGCTTGGTCTGGCACCTTGTCTACCTGGGCAGCATTTTCCCCGGAGGACAAGCCCGACATCGACAATTTGCATTGCATACAGTCTATGCCTCTCTGCAACACATGAAGACAATCAGGACCGGGCAGCCTACCTGGGTTGTTCAAGCTGTCAAGCTACGAAGACCTACCAGCACACAGCACACGTGCCTGCAGCTTAGCCTCACGTTCGGGCGCATGTCAACTTCAAAATCTGATGAGAACAAAGCACTGCAATGCAACTTTGATTTGTGGTTGGAACCTGTTGAACAACTTCATCTTGACCCGGGAACTGGAAACCCATGTCTGCGGCCCCCCCACCCTGACCTCTCAATCGAAGGGGGAAACCTTGCATTGAATGCTCCAGGCTCAAATGCCATTCAAACGGGTACTCTCGTCGCTCTTGGGCTGCGCTGGAATCAGCAAGCTTGTCGCGTTTCGTTGAGGCGTCCTCACAGTTGACCCAAGGCAAGGGAACGTTTCTGCATTTTGGCTGAGAACCCCCGCGCAGGCGTCTTCCGCGCCTTTTCGCATTGTAAAGGCGAGGGGAGGCGCTGAGTTCTGGGAGGCAAAAAGCGAGGTTGGTGCTCCGCTTCTTCGGGTTACGGCGTGGACTCTGTTTCATGTGCTTCATGTGCCCGTGCAGGCTTTCATCTGTTGCTTCCCCAACTCCACCGCACCTCACTGTGCTGTTGGAACATGGGGCTGTTGGCTGATATTCTCTTGCCCTCGAGAAAGCAGAAGCTCGAACAGCGCGAATGTGTTTCTTCACGGTTCGCATTTTGGGGCCTCCTGCCTCCTGGCCTTTGCAGTTCCTACATGATTCACAGATTCGACCTTCAAGGTCTTTCGTCATCTTTCATCCGACACCGACGGGCATTCTCAGTTACGGGCATGACTGCTGTCATGTTGAAGCTGATGCCAGAGGTCCTCCTCATCATCTGTTGACATATAAACCTTCCAACCTGCAGAAGTTCACTGCTCACAACTTGACAAGTTGCTAGATCTGCCGCCACAGTCTTAGCAAAGAGACACTTCGAAAGCAAATACATGATGACAGATTGAGGGGCGAAGGCTGGCTCGGACAGGACTTCGTGCGTGTCTGAATGATTCTGGGGTGCAAAGCATGAAGAAGTCACAGTCGCGGCGGCTGATGCCGTACCAGTTTAATCGAATCCGCTTTGCCCATTCCTGCAGAGCCGCAAAGCAGGAGCTCTTTTCCAAGGCTGTTGTGTCTTTGCGAACCTCAAGCTGAAGAAGCGCAGAGACGGGCTCGATGAGGACGGGATGGTAGCCGTAGACCACAACTTCGCAATTCGACTCCTTGCATGTAAGTAATGCATTTGGCTAAAGTGTCGACACTAGCTGTGCCACGCTGCGCCTGCAGAACAACTTGTGTAGGCACATCCGTGCCCGGAAGAAGAAAGCCCTCCAAATTGAAAGAAGAGCCTGACCGTGAGTATGGGGGAGATTTTGGAAGAAAGTGAACCTAAGACAAAGCTTGTTGAAGCTGAACAACCGCTTCACACACTGTGTGTGTATGGCTTAGCTGTTCGCGCGCTTTTTTCTCATGGCCTCTTCGGGGAGCTTTCAGACCACGAAAGCGTCTTCCAGCACCTGAGACAGCCTGATCAATTCATTTTCCCATCCATTCATCCATTCATGTCTCGCAAGACTGGAAGATTGGAAGACATGGAACCTGGATGTCCTGCAAAATCTCCGCGGAGCGCAGCTTCCAGGACGTGGACTCCAAGAAGTCCAAGCCGAGCTCCTGTTTTGGTAACTTGATTCGTGCCAGGACTCCTGTTGCTCAACAAGGACCTTGCCCAGGAGCTGCAAAGCCAAGGTCCAGTCTGCAAGCGCTGCTGCCATATGGCCTCTTTCGGACATTGAAATGCAAAAATGGATAGCTTCGCTTACGGAAAGGGAAAGGACGCCAAGCTTTCCGCGGCTTGCGGCTGGCCTTTGGCGTGTTCTCCGAGGCCCCGGACGTGCAAAGCGGCCACAGCTCCATAGACGCAGTCGTCTGCGAAGCGACGCGCCGTTTGCCCAGGCTCCGAGAGGCTAAGCGCAAAGCGCTGGACGTCCACGTGTCTGGGTTCAAGGAACAAGGACAACGGGTGACAGGGCCGAATTGTGGCGTGCCCCACCTGAAGTTCTGTGCCAATACAGCCTCCGCCTCCTCCACAAAATCCCAAAAAGTTTCTTCTTCGGGAAGGTGAAGGCGATCATCTCGGAACTGCGCTTGGCGCAGCTGGCGGAAGTGGTTCCATGCTGCGTGGCCCTCACCTCGAAAAGGGAAGGTTAGATGGTTTTTGAGGCACGTTGGCATATCTTCTTAAACCAAAGGAGCAGTCGAGGAAGGCATAGATGCCACCCAAGGAGTCCCAGCTCTTCCCCCAGGCTGAGAGAATGAGACCTATCTCATCTTCTCATCTCAAACGCACACTTCCAAACACTTTGCTTCTGAGCGCAGAGCTTCCTCTCAGCATCCATGCGGCCGGAATTCCAATGCCACTTGGGCTTGGGCCAAGATGCCAAGATGGTAAAAGCGGCATTGTTTTTTTCCCAAGCTCAAATTGGCAAAGGTGCTCAGTCCTGACCCAGCATCTCGGTGATCCTGAACACAGGCATACTGCCACCGCTAGCCACAGAGTTCATCGCAAAACCTAGTTGCAGCTTTCCTGACCTGAGTCGGCCCACAAAAGGCTGCAAAGCATCGGCTCCAAGGAGGACGTCAAAAAAAACCTGTCAGCCGGCATCCTGCAAAAACATCCCTTCCCCCTGAAAGAGGAGGAAAACCTTGCCTTGGCATCAATGAAACCTTCACCCTTTCCGCCCCTGCCATGAAGGTCATAATCTCGCCGTCGCCGCTTGTCCGACAGCACTTGGTACCTCGCAGTGACAAAGAAATTTGAAGGCCTCTATCACAAAAATAGCTGGCAGGGCCCGCCCGAGGCCCTGGCGCTTCGGAGATGCTCTGGAAGCGTTCCTCCCATTCTGCTCTTAAAACCCATTCAGCCATGCCAATGATTCAATGTGCAATCCCTTTCTCGAACCTTGGCATTTTCATCGGCTGTCTTGTCAGGGTGGCACTGCCTGCGTGACTTCATGAAATTCCAGGCAGAAAGTGCTTGGTCTGCAAGCTCCTAGGGAGCCGGAGTGCAATGGAAACTTATGAGCACCCGTAGAATACTTTTTTTTGGCAACAATAAGCTGGGACATGCGTTCACAGCCCGGACCTGCGCGCGTTACTGCCACTTTGTGCTTTACGCTGTCGGTGTACACCGCTTGAGGTACTAGACATGTGACATGTCAAAACTAGAAAATCATGGGCTAAAGCAATGTAACCTTGCACCAAAAATCATGTTCAAAGCGCTTTGGGTGGTCTCGTGGGTGTGGAGACCTTCATGTTTCAAATTCACTTGGGTGCCAATTGTGCTGACGATGCTTGCATATGAGACAGGCGGGAGCGTGCAACCCACCTGCTTTCAAATTGGCAAAATGTACCTGGTGAAGTACTCTGGGTGGCTTCTGAACAGCAGCGCGAAGTCTGAAGTCCCAAAGAATCACTTTTCACTCGCTGCTGATGCATCCGCAGCGGCAGCGGATTAAAAGCCCTCCCTGTAAGCCAGGACACGTTGTGGCCGATGCATGCTCCTCCACAAGCTTGTCCAAGAAATGACGTGGCAACGAAGTGGGAACCCAGTTCTGTAATCCGCTAACCCCCTTGCGGGGTGGCGCGGGGTGGGGCCGTGAAGCTGTGTTCAAATTTCTGCCCTGGTAAAACATGGCATGTTGGCTCAGGTATAGGTGTTCCTGCTTGCTGCCCATCCACCTAAACGCTTCTTAGTTTAGATGTTGGCAGTGATGCATTTGCGTCTAAGCGTGCTTAGTGGTGCCCTTGGTATATTTTGTTCCAGCACTTTTATTCGGCCTGGCAGAGCCAACCGACCTCACCACCCGCCGCCCTTAGCCCCTGCCGCCCGAGCATGGCTTTTAGCCCTGTGGCCTTAGCATGGCTTTCAGGGGGATGCATGCATAGGTGTAGGTATTCAAAAATGCGAGCCCAAGGAGGCCCTAACACATGGCGTTCGGCAGGGATGCATAAGCCCAAGGAGGCTTCAATCCCCTACACCCCTCACCCACCTAATACTCGCAATAGTTGTGAGGATACGATTAGTGTTGCCCGTTGACAGGAAGGCCCATGCAAGACTTTTTTGTGCCAGCGAAGAACGAAAAACAGATATGAAGTACTAACTACAACTTCTGACTAACTTTTGCAGAAAATGTGCTACCTGTACATAAAAGACGTGGAGGCTTCAGGGTATTACTGGTGCTGGTGCGCAACACGTCACGCTTTTCCAGCCGTGGCCATTTGTCATCTCGAGACCATGCTTAGGTGTACGGGTTGTTGGGTTTTAACTACCCCAGTAATACCCTGAAGCCTCTAGGTCTTGTTTGTACAGGTAGCACGTTTTGTGTAAAAATTCGTCAGAAATTAATTAATACCTCACAGTACGGCGGGCCGCTAGTTTGAGCCAAGTGGCTCCTGGCAGCAGTGGAGCACTTCACGGGACACCAGACAGTATTTCTTCAGCTGGACTGAGCCAGGTTACAACCTAAGTTCACGGCCTATAATTATACGGCCCCAGTGGCGGTCGATCTGACGCGTTTGGCTGCGGGCGACCACGAGTCAGTGGATGGGCTCAAGCCTGTGCAAGCAAGGCACTTTTTCTCAAGCCGTAAGAGGGCTGCGGAGTGAAGCGCTAAGCGTTTAGGGAGTAGCCTTAAGCTCAAGCCTTCTAGCTCTTTGTACTTATCCTACACACAGGCGTGTAGGATCGGCAATTAAAGCAGTCGGGGAAGGCGACAAGCCGCGATACGATGATACCAGTATGTTCGAGTAGAACAGACTGCCATTAGTCTCCTAGTCAATGCCGCGCCAAAATGGTTACAGACGGAGTTGATTTCAAATCGGCAGTTAGATTCAACTGCGATGATCTCTAGAGTATTGACTGCATCTGAAGTAAAGGGCCGATGTTACATCTGTGGGGCTACGGACCATCTTAAACCTGCGTGCACCCGTCCGGGTGGAAGTTCGCACGATGGATCAGCTGAGCCCAGGCGAAAGGAAAGGGCAAGACGAAAACAAAAGCGCTTGCCAAAGTGCAGGCCACCAGTTCATCGGCTCCAGCGGATGAGTCGGCCAAGTGAAGGAAATTCATGCCCTTAAAAAAAGTCCATGCGGATGGCTAGGCTACAAGTAGACCCTAGCCTTGAGTCATCTGCCTCAGTAGAGAGCGTCAGGCAAGCTTTCGAGAGCATCCGGAAAGTAGCAATAGGGGAGAAAGGATTTCCAGATGGTGGTGCTACAGCTTGTGTGAGGATTGCCAAAGTTCATAAGCGAGCTTGTACTTACCGCACAGTAAAAAAGTTTCCCTGGCACTCGGAGAAAGTCATTTCATGATCTCCCTGGAGGGGAAACTCTTGTCAGTGGAGGATGTGTGTCCTAAGTGTTCATCCATAAAGAAGACGGTCAGTTAGACATGGATACCTCAACAAGTTGCCTAGAGGTCCCTCGACCTGTTTCCAAGATGTCATCCACATAGAGACCTATAGCCCCTACAACTGTGTCGTTCTGGTCTGGCAGAACAACTTTCCAAACATTTGCATGCTCCATAAGCTGAACAACCTTCACCGGGATGCCTCCTTCAAGTTGTTAAGCCTGTTTACTGCGGCAGCAAACTCTTGAGGAGTCGTTTCCTTGACCCCTTCTTTAAGAGTCTGCTTGTCCGCCAGACAAGCATCACTTTCAAGAAGTGTTTCGGGTACGTCCTGAGGGGAACTAGATCAACTTGTTTTGTACTAGCAGGAACGAGCTTATCTCAACCGTGCAGAGGGTCCCATTCCTGCTGAGGCTCCATGACCTGGGGGAAACATCCAACCCATAAAGCGCCTTATGTACTCGCCAGCATTCTTCTTTAATCCCAATCATTCTAAAGACTGTGGGGACCTTCACCACTATGACCTCTTTGTTAGGAGTCACTATATCAGCATTTTCAAATGCTGTGGTGATGTCAAGCATTCCCGCTCGCTACTTACGGAGCGCCGCGTTGCGAACTAACAGCCGCAAACCATTGGCATCAATCCCTCCGGAAAAGCTGTCCATTTTTGTTCGTTTGTCCCCATGCTGATAGTTACCACAGCCTACTCCACGGGTTTTGTACCTACCAGAATAGGCTTTGATAGTGCGTACTGACTTCCACCTGAGTTTTGCAGAAGTCTGAAAAGCCTCCTCGCTGAGTGGCTCTACAGCCCGAGTGTCCACTATGAGGGAGCGATGCTCCGCCTCAATTGACGATCTCCATTTTTCAATATTCACTTTCACCTCTTCCAAGGGAATCATATACGTTTTAAGCGGAATATCTGGGTCGCCTTCTACGACCTTTGCACTTGACACTTGGTGAACCTCTTTGCTACCCCCAACTATATACTACGTTTTGGGGAACGTCCGCAGGACTTGTTTCATCAAGTGGTTCAAGGTTTGCAATACTTTTGATGGCACGGGGCCCCGACTCCCACACACCAAGATGACCAAGAAGATCACATGCTTGCTCTTCGCACTCCGCCAGAGCACGAAGAATCTCATCAACTTCCAACTGATTTGAACTATTGTTCAGGATACCCGAACTACACAGTTCTAGATCTTGACCCATTATACACCTATGGTGGGATAGGTCTTGCAACGTCGGTTCCGGGGAGTCCTCTGATGAATATGAAGTAAGAGACTGCGCAGAGGAAGGAACGATCCACTCTAAGTCGTCCCCTACTTCGTGCCACTCGTGTCTTTTCTGCCTGTCAGCTGGCTGACCACCAACACTATTTTCTGGTTCTTGGACTTCCTTACTTAGAGGTTCCTGTAAATGGACGTCTTGAGGGGCAACTTGACTCACTACTGGTTGACTCTCTGTCGCCTGACCACTGCCTAAAGCTCCCCGACCCTGGAACCGAAAAATTCTTAAGCCTACCTCTACTACATTACTAGCATCATCACCCTCCCCCGAGCCCGGGCATGGGCTTTTGAATTGCAGAGCGGCAGGCGAAGGAGAGACTAATGCACCAACGTCGTTGAGGGTGTTGGACTTCAAAAGAAAGACAGTGCGGCCTGTGAAAGGACGCACAGGTGGTTCAGGCGGATGATCCAGACTCCCTGTCGCATAAGGTAGCCCTCCGGGGGTATACCTCCCCCTGCCGGTGCATCATCGGACCTCCGTTTCTCCTCCCCAACCCAAGTCCAAAACAACTCTAAAACTAACATGCGTTTCTGAAGTGATTCCACCCGCTACGAAAGGAATTTTGAAGGTTTTTGGGGTCCCCAAGCACCCCAACATCTGCATCACCGTTTTGAAAAACTAGCCCCGAGCTCCTTCTGGGGCAGGGCTGAGGAAAAATCTAGAATTGGAGAAATGGGCCCCCCAATGACACTGACGGACGACGCAGGCCCCCTTCGCCAGCATCCTCCTTTTGCCATTGCTTGCGGGTGGTTAAATTTGGCTTTTGGGTTCTCCCTCTACGAGGGTTAACCTTGCCATGTGTGTTTTGCTTTTGGGGGGGCTAACCTTGCCATTTGGGTTTTGCTTCTGGGGGGGTAACCTTGTTATTTGGGTTTTGCTTATGGTGGGGTTAACCTTGCGATTTAGGTTGTGTTTTTTTGGGGTTTCACCTTGCAACTTTGATTTTGCTTATGGGGGGCTTAGTTTGGCTTTCGGGTTTTGCTCATGGGGTGGTTAAGCCTTGCCATTTGGATTTTGCTTATGGGGGGGTTAACCTTGCCATTTGGGTTTTGCTTATGGGGGGGTTAACCTTGCCATTTGGGTTTTGCTTATGGTGGGGTTACCCTTGCCATTTAGGTCGTGCTTATGGGGGGTCTGACCTTGCGACTAAGGTTTTGCCTAAGGGGGGCCGAAGTTTGGCTTTTGGGTTCTGCTTATATGGGGTGGTTAAGCCTTGCTATTTGGGTTTTGGTTATGGGGAATTAACTCCACCATTTAGATTAACGCTGCCGACGCTGCTGCATCATTGGACCTCCGTTTCCCTCCCAGACCCCGCTCCAAAACCAAGCGGCAGCGAATCCCCCGCTACAGAAGGAGGATTTTTGGGGGGAGGGCAAGCTGGAAATGTCTCTGGAGGAGATTCTGATGATGCTCAATGCAAAAGAAGCAAGCGCACGCAGGAGGCTTTTTCCATGTGCGAATGAACGATCAGCTCAAAGGGCCCCGGAGAAAAAAACAGCAGCACATACATCAAGATGAGCTGAGGCCAAGGTGCACTACCCCGCGGCTACGCCTAAACTGTTACGGGTATTATTTTAAGTTGGCCTAAACATCATCTCGAAGTATGACCACCGGTTTTTGGAGCCAGTCGTGCAGCACCAGTTGCAGTTCTGCACTGTGCTTCGTTAGGCCGTGTGCCCATTGAACCTGGGTAGGGACCCATCTGATCCTTTCCCCATCCACAACCTCTTGGATAGCCCGTATGTTGACTAAAGACCGCTTATCCGCAAGGTTGGGAGTGTCACTCACTACAACATCGTACAAACTTTTGGCATCAACTACATGAAGGTGTAGTAGGCGATGCTGGCAACGATGTGCAGGAATGTTATACAGGAGCTCGGAGATGAACATGTTCAAGAAGCACCCTCTGTCGTAGCCCTCATCGGCAGCGCTCGCCTCCGCCGCTAAGGTGGAGCGACACACCCGGGTCGAACGCCCTGATCGCCAATCAAGCACTGCTGCCGCCGTGGTTCTCTGAAGCACGGTTGGAGAGGTAAGCAAGGCAAGGACTCCAAGCTGCGAGCGGCACTGCTCTGCGTTGGCCCAAGAAGCATCACTATACGCCACGATGACGCTGCCACGGTTCAGGGCAACATCCTCGATAATGATGTCGTCATTCTTGGTCGCGCGGGCGAACTCAAAGGCCTGGTACAGGGACTTGAGGTCGGACAACGTCATCGGCACCTCTAGGAATCTTGTCGACGGAAAGGCCATCGATGAACTCAGCCTGGCACAGGTGGAGGTAGAAACGGCCACTGGGACGTTCACGTAGAGAAATTTGTTTCCCTTTGACAGTGAACTCCTTGTCGGGCTCAACAGTGTTGAGAGACCCCCACTTGAAGGACTGCCAAACTGGTTTGATGGAACAGTCCTCACGGTAGACGCCGAAGAAATCGTCAACGTACACCAAGACGATGGAGATGCGCTCATCTTGCTTGTTGAAGAGGAGGAAAACCATCCGGTCGAAAACGTGCTGTCTGTATCCAAGCTTCTTCAACCTCTGCGCCACCGTGATTGCCCAAAGACGTGGAGCGTTAGCAAGGCCATAGATGTTGGTGAGGACCAGGTACAAGGGTGCCGTCCAACAACTCGTGGAACGTGTTACTCCGTCATAGGGTCCTCTCGTTTGAGGGCTGCTCGCCCTGCAAGAAAGCCGTGGCTGCGTCACCAGTCCAGCCGAACCACTTCTTCTGAGAGTTGGCAAACTCGCGGTTGCTCCCTGCAGTCAAGACGAGACACAGCACGTGCTCGCTGGTCCGACTGGGAGCAGGACACTCTCGGTTCAGCCGACGAATGTCAGGGTCAGTGTCCCAGCGCCACGACTCTGCATTTGGCTCCAAGAGGGCCAAGCCCCTTTACCTTGTCTCGAAAGCAGCTGCGCGTTCTCAGCACGCGCTTGGCCAGGATCTTGTCCTTCAAGACAGCGCTCGCCTCTTCGCGGGTGAGTGCCCTGACCACTCCATCCACGAGGAGTGCCCCTTTTCCACTGCCTAGGCCTGGAACTGGTGGGATGGCAATTCCATGATTTTGCGCCATGGAATCTTGCGATCCAAAGCTTTGGCTTCCATACGAGACATTCCCTGCCGCGAACTTGACGTCGGGGGTGCATTGTCCCAGTCGGAGTCTGAAGTGTCGGCCTCCTGGGCAGGCTTGTCCGTGGCCAGCACGTCGTCGTTTCAGTACCTCGAACAACTGGTTGCACGTAGAACTCGCCGAGGGTGTGTCCAAAACGAAGCCGGTGTAGGAGGCCGTCTTCTTCGTAGAGCGCGGTGCTCCTGAAGCTGCCGAACTTGTCACTGGCGTAGTAGGTGGCCTTGAGCTAATTGAAGCCGAGGCCAGTGCCACTTGTCCAGAGTTTGCCGGAGTAGGCGGCTGCGGGCCAATTAAAGCTGCTGGTGTCTCCGGCAGGTCAAGGGCAACAGACGAGACTGGTCCTCCTCCTCCTCCTCCTGAAAAAAAAACGCTCGAGGCTCAACCTTTACATCGAGTTCTTGACGAAGACGACTTCCTCATGGACTACCAGTCTAGCAACGAGCTTCTGGCCGCTGCTTCCTCTCAACCAGCCCTCCTGGCACCCCAGTTCCAGCACCCGAGCAAGCCCGTCGGAGACTTTGGACAAGGAGCACGCCGCAGCAACTCTATGCCGCGCACACCACGAAGAAGCCGGTCACCAGCACCTGTCAACGCCGAGACGAGCTCTATTTCCAGGACTACCGCAACTTCTTCAGTTTTCAGAGGGTCAAGGTCAAGTTCCTGAGTACAGTCCACCCTTTGAGGAACCTCCAGGACTACAAGAACTTCTCCAGCCTCAAGAAGGTCAAGTCAGGCGGTGGACCTCACTCAGGATGCGGACGACTTACCTGAATGAAGACGTTCGCGACTACGCTCCTTCACCGCCCAAAGGCTTTCGGTGAGGGCCTTGCTGGCGTCCTTGAGAGCGGTCACGTCCTGCTCGCTAAACACCCACTGTTCGAAGCCAGCGGCAGAACGAAGCTGTTCGGTCGCCACCAAAGCTGTAGTTGTTCCTGACCTCGCCCATGCCAGTTTGGTCGGGGCCGAGGTCCCAAGAAAGGAACTTGGCTGTCACCCAGCCACCCCTCTTTTTCTGTCTTCGCCGTCTCCATCTCCAGCATGGACTCCCTGGCTCCAAATCTGGGATTCGAAGGATAGCGATGGACTGTTGCACGTTCAGATCTGCTATCGCCTTCGCAGCCTCCGAACGCACCCTCTCCGCCGTTGCCGCCGAATCGGTCTTGACTATGCATGAGCCCGCCCGGCAGGCGCGGCGCTTTCCCGAAGAGCGCCTGCCGGGCGGGCCTGCCTCTGCTGAGCACTACACTGTCCACTGCATGGAGCGACGGAGCGATGAGCAAATCCATCGGTCCGCAGGAAGGCGTTCTGGCGTTCCACGTGTGCGATTTTCCAGTGAGCGTCAGGAGGACAATGCTCCACCAGCGTGCCATGCGATTCCCAAGCGGCGCTGGAAGTCGCCTTGAAAGCATCCATCCGGATCAGCCGCAACCACGGTCGGAAGCCCATAAGGACGAAGCCAAACTCGCTCAAAAGCCTCGCAGGCAATTTTCGGGGCGCGGCCAGAAAGAACGGCAGCTTGATGGAAACGTGTAGCGACATCCACCATGCCGAGCACCATCACGTTCTCGCCGTCCAACTTCCGCACGTACAAAATGTCAAGCTCGACCCGGTCGCCAAACTGAGTCACCGTAGAAGGGGCAGCCGACGGTGGTGGTGCCTGTGGTGATTTGAGACGGTCGCAGGTCGCAGCGAACGGCCGAGATGAAGTGTGTATAGAGGGATTACCTTGATGACACGCAAGTCGCACCAGCTCCTCAGCAGTCGGATGACCAAGGTTGATGTGCACACGTGCGATAGTCCGGCGAACTTCGGCAGGAACGTCAGCTGACAGTCCAGGAAACGTGACATCCGTGGGGGAGGCCTCCACGCTTGAAGGTTGTACTTCAGGACGTCGCTCGCCATATGCAAACACCGCGTACCGCACGGCCTTGGCAAACTTCTGCTCGGGCTGCTGGATCTTGGAAAGGTCTTCCAGCTCCACACTACGTGAGCCATCCGCGTAGAGGAGGGAGGCGCTGCGGGCCGTGAAAGGAAAATCCAAAGGAAGACGCCGCTGTGTAGGAGTTTGCACGCGTTGGATGCGAACCAAGTTCATCCTGAGGAGGTCGCCGATGTTCTTGCCCACGTCGCTGTCCACGTCCACGTAGAAAGGCCTCGTAGAGCTCGCGCCAAAGGAACGCTCAAGCATCGTCATGGGGTCCCAGGCAGCGAGGTCAGAGACGGGGTGTGGAAATGTAGCCAAAGCTTGATATAAAGGAAACGGATGTTGGTGAGGAACTTGAAGGGCTTGATGATCGGCTTGCCATCGACCGTAGCAACAGAGTACGCAAAACACTACACAGTCCTTTTCACTGAAGAGCCTTCGTGTCACGGCAACTTCTCAGCTTGCACAACTGGTCTGCACCACGTGTGGAAAACAGGGTGTCTGGGTGCTAGCAAAGTCTAAA